ATAATCAATTCATATTTATATTAGTTAATATTTCTTTTTTTGGGGGGGCAATTCCTTATTCCTTGCACAATGTTATGTTATAACCATAAAACACTTTTACCATAGTACATGATCTCTAATAACTAATATTACTAATATTAACATTACTAATAACTAATATTTTGACATTTGCATCACATAATCAGCTCATATGTATGTATGGCTTTTCTGACATAGTAAACCTGCTCAGTAGCTCACCTGAAACAGCCTTGCACTTGCGATGCAGTGTTTGGGTGCCAAGTCCTGTGAAACACGAGTCACAATATAGGTTCTTAAAGATTTGTAGAAGCAAGCAAAAATGCTAAAGCAGGATAAAATTTCTCACATTTGCTTTTGTTAACATTATTGATTAGGTTAAGAGTAGGGTTTAGTGTAGGTGGTACGTTATTTTCAAACTCAATAAAGCATCAGCCTTTTAGCGCCACTGCAATATGTATAAGATACATGTTCACCTGCTTTGGATAAAACTGCGTTTTTTTAGTTTTAACGTGCAAGAAGCAACATAATATAATTTTGCAGAAATGTCACCACAGGCATGTTTTTCCAATGAGCCTGGGTTGGGTTTAATCAAACGCCACAGATATTGTGAGCCATTGCTCCAATATGAATAATGTATATGTGACTGAAGTGAATCAGTACAGATCTCTAGTTTGATTCAAACCTGCATAACCCATATTTTATACCCATACCCATGGGTTACGCAGGTTTGAATCAAACTAGAGATCTGTACTGATTCACTTCAGTCACATATACATTATTCATATTGGAGCCATAGCCTAGCAGTAAGCACAAATTCTACACACAAAGAGCCATAGTGCTCATGTGGGAAATGCATGTTCAAATTAATGTGGTGACTCAATCCTATTCAGCAGACTGTCAGTACAGTAGCTAACAAGTTTCCTAATATAAAAGCTGTGGTCTACTGCTGCTGCACATTTAACAGACATGTTGAGTTTTGGTGCTCTTAAAGGAAAAATAGGTTCAAATGCAACTTGTGCTGTGTCTTGATCCAATTCCCCACAACAGTCCTCATAATTTTCTGTCTTTGCTTGGTCTCTACCAAATGGCGAAGCTCAAAAATACAATAAAAAAGCTTCTTCCTAACAGGAAACAGTCTGTTAAGGTACTGTTCACTCATTATGTTAAAATCAGAACAGCACAATACATCTGAAAAACAGAAAACAACAGTGCTCTTCCACTGCTGTTGCTGGCTTGTTCAGTGACTTATACAGGGAGGCAGGACACTGACGTAACCAAACACTAGAGCATATAATCTGCTGTCTACACCCACACACACAGGAAAAGATTACTGACTGTGCTGCTTCCATCGATCTGTTAAATGACAGGGAATATGGACAGGCTGAAGGATAAGTCCCTTCTGTGGTCTAGTTTTAACCATGGCTACGTTTAAAGGTTTTTTCTCAAGACAATTTGACGTGATAAAAAACTACATTTGTCATACATATTGGAACAGAAAAACTGTGGGCAAAAAACTGGCAAATGCGAATAATGTCTGAAGATGAAACATTGGCACCAATACACCTAGTCATGTCCCCACAGTTGCACATTTGTAATGAAAGTCAAAGTGACGTGAAGCCAAGTATGGTGTCATACTCAAAGTTTGTACCCTGCATTCCAATTCCAACCCATCCAAGTGCACACACTCAGCAGTGAGTAGTGAACACACACACACACACACACACACACACACACACACACACACTGTGAACACACTCCCGGAGCAATGCTCAAGGGTCTCACCTCAGTTGTGGTATTGAAGGTGGAAAAGAGGTCATTCACTCCCCCCACCTACAATCCCTGCCGGTACCGAGACTCGAACCTGTGACCATTGGGTTACAAGTCCAACTCTCTAACCATTAGGCCACAAGCAACTGCAAAACAACTATTAACCGTTTCGCATGTGAGTTTAAAATATTCTAGCTGAGCCTCCAGCGTGAGTTTTTTTTAGGCGACCATTATTTTAGAATGTATCACCTTATTGTTTCCATGGCGATGCGTCATGCTTGTCATGTGACACAACGCAGCCACAATAGATCTGTATGACACATGGATCGCTTTTATTTAATTTTTCCTGTTTTATTCAAAATATTCACAAACATGCTCACTATATTATGAAATATCTGATATTCCGATTCTGAAATATGTACAAGTAAATCTATTTGGTAGTTTAAACACTTTTATATCGACCGTGTTTGATTATCTATACCGGGTGATGGGCGCCGCCATGTTAGTTCGCACTGAATCCCAGCTGTGGGATTTACAACACGCAAATTCATCCTCTCCTCCCGAAACACGTTAAAGTAGGTCTCAAACTGGGAGAAGAAGAGCAGAGTAAACTTTATAGTTACCTACACAATCTGTATATGATATCAATAAAACATGTCGTCAGATTATATTTGTAAGGATCATTATTGCCGTTTCCATAGACATCAGCGTGTATTTTACAAACTGTAAATTTATGGTTTTGCTAGTACTTATGTGTATTTAAATGTCTGAAACCTAAAATAAGCATTATATGGTTGAAAACATTGAATATTTGTGATAATATGACGCACTGAAAGTTCTAATCACACCGGTGTGATCGTACGTTTAAGGGACCAGCCAAGACCGATCACACCGGTGTGATCGTTCGCGTTAAAGGGTTAAAGGTGCAATAGGTGATTGTCTTCAGAAACATTTTTTGTTATGCTGGTTGAAAGTCTCTTCACATCCCGATAGCAATCATTAAGTTAAGTGGTCTAAATGTATTTGTCTGTATTTATATATTCTGTGGAAGGCATAGGATCAAGAAATGTTCGTCCAATCAAAATGCTCGGTCCGAGCGTTTTAATATGCTTTCCTACCTGCCTGTCAACGTATGTATTAGCATACCTCTGCGCACCGGGTTACGTCAGCATACGTCATCAGCGCGTTCACGCACGCTGTGCAGACAGAGCGAGAATGGCAGACAAACATCAACAACCCGATCTTCCTTCCTGGTATTGTAGTACTTTTAAAGTTTTCTCACCAGTGAATGACACATGATGTAGCCCAGTGGTTAATCCAGTCCTCGTGCGCCAGCTCGTTAGAAGTGAGCTACGTGCATGAACTGTGTTCCGATCGATATGATCCCTACACAGTGTTCATTGCTCCCTACTCCCTGAGCGGGGGAAATCCGTTGAAGTTTACTTTACTTCGGAACATGGGCTGGAATTGGGAACCGCTGATGTCTATTGTAGTAATGTTGTCTCTGGTATTCTGGTCTGTGAGCGTAAATGCGTTCAGGGGGCGTGGCTTTGGACGGCGATTGCAGGGAGGGTAGGACGTTCGCTTTCAGTGCTATCAGGCTAAAGTTAGCATTTTCCAAGATCTCCTACTGCACCTTTAAGCAAAACAACTGTTTTCAACATTTATAATACTAAGAATTGTTTTGAGCAACAGATCAGCATATCAGAATGATTTCTGAAGGATCATGTGCTACTAAAGCCTAGAGCAATGGCTGCAGAAAATACTATAAGAATAAATTTAAAAAATTTGTTTTTATTAAATAAATGCCGCCTTGGTGAGGATAAGACACTTTATTCATCAAACCCATTAAACTCAAACTTGTGTATTCCAGTCTACGGCACTTTTAGCATCTCAGTGTTTTTCAGTTAAATCAGACAAATAGTAACTAAACTGGAAAGACAGTAAGTACTTTAGTTATGCATGACAAATTTTCTCCATCTCTTCAGAGAAGCTTTTCTCAGAGAAACAACAGCTTAAACAACATCAGAATTAAATAATCGGCATCACTGACCTGTTTTAACTTTTAACAAGTTTCATCAATGTTGAAAAGATGTGTGTGTGCCAGCCACTGACCTGGGTCAGGCTACGTTCAGCTGCCTAACAACAGCTAATCTGTTTCCCATTGTTTGAGAGCTTGGAAGTCTGTATAAAATGCACAGGAATTCACAAGAATTCTCAGTGTCACTCCCTACTTAGCAAAGGGCACAGCGTTCTTGTGTGCTGAAGCATTCTGGCCCATGGACTGAGCCTTCATGTCCTTGCCCCCGCTCGTCATATACCACTTTCCCCCATTGCTGTGTAGCTGTGCCTGGGATCTGCAGGAGAGCGGCCCCCTAAACATTCACCTGGCACCTCGAGCAGCACTTTTTCCACTCAATTCACAGCCCAGGCGACTCACTAATCGCCTGTTTGGACATTATATCTAAGGGTCTGAGAGAAGACCCAGGGCTGCTCATTACTCAGGGGCCAGACAACTGGTGAGAAGGATAAAAATGAAACACGCGTGGCGATTTATCAGTGCAGTACCACGGATTAAAAGACTGCAAGCCGCCCTGCCTGCATGCTTTGTTTCAGTGCATTTTAAACCCCTCTGTCTCTCAAGACATGCTTCATCATTTCAATAGAATTATGCCTTCGCTCGAACATTTGGGGAACAAAAGCAATATTAAAATAACATTGTATGGAGAGCCAGCATTCATGGATACAAATCCCCTGCATCTAGCACAACAGTGTCAGACGCAAAACCGAAGGGGGCTTTTTAATCTTTCTGTCTTTTTATAGCTCAACCTTAACTATCAAATGAAGGACAGACAAGTGAGCCTCAAACTCAATTGCTGCATTTTTTTATGTTATTTAATTATTTAATTTCATTTATTATTATTATTATTATTTTATTTTATTTTTTTTTACATGACAGGCAGTTCATACGCATAATAATAATCCGGGTGGCTACAGCCCCCTTTCTTCTGATTGCAAATAACAAGCCTGAGCGGACCACTGAACGATGTGTGATTGCACAGTAGCCCTCTCAAAATGACTGGTAAAGAATACTGTTTCCACCCCAGCAAGAATTATTCATCAGAGTGCAGGCCTGAGGTGGCAAAGCAGTGAGAAAACCTGTATTAAACAGCGCCGGAAGAGAAGACAGCTGTCCCTGCCCACATTTTTCTGAGTGCGCGGAGAGCGGGCTGCTGTTTCCAAAGCCTCATCTGAAAACAAATTAAAGAGGATTACAGCTTGGCACTGAAGCTAGAGCTTTATTCTGGTCTAGGAATGGCACAGCCCTGCCTGGTGTCCGCCTTACTGACCTTTTGCGTGTTTATTTTGATATCCAAAACAAGAAACTAGGTTGTAACATTTCAGAAATGCTCAAAATGGATGCCCTGTTGTAATATTAGCTGTCATGTAATTTTATCATTGTCATTATTTTATATATGAAACTTAAGTAACAGAATAGAATTATTGATGAATAGATTATTAAAGACATTATAATAATAGTATATATATACACACCGATGAGCCATCCCAGTTCCCGTACATTGCGGGGTGGTGGTGAGGTAGCATGAACCCACTTTTCGATTGGGTTAATGCCAGGTGAATATGGAGGTCAAGACCACCTTCCTCACGGCACCCCTTGATGACTCTGGCAGTGTGGCATGGTGCTTTATCCTGTTGGTAATGTAAATTAATAAATGTAATTTATTACTTGTTACTAGTTACTCCTTTCAAAAGTAATATTCTTACTTATTACTTATTCTGGCAACAGTAATTAGTTACACTACTAGTTACTTTTCCTTCACGCCCCACAGTTGTTGTAATTGTGTATCTTACATAAAATTCTTCTAAAATGTTACTAACAGTATATTTCTGCCTCATCATTTGACCAAAATCTGCACGGGATCTCAGTCAGAAGTTTTTACAAACACTCAATGGTGAATGATAGTGACTTTTAAGTAAAAGTGTTGTATTAATTGTCATGTGTAGCTTGATGATAATTGTAGCTATAATTTCTCTGTTACCCATAATTATTATATTTCATGAGGAATTTTATCAAAGGAAATCACATAAGTTCATAAGAATTTTAATTATAGTAATATAATTTATATTGGGATCAGAGGGATGTGGGTGGGCAACCCATGTAATGCCAGAGTAAAGTAATGCCACAACTTACACATCTGTGTTCAGATCAGTTTTTCTCATGACAAAATCAGTGTAATGGCAATATTTCCATCACCTGAATGTAAGCTTTTCCATATTCCAAGCTTTCCCGATGCACTGGTGACTTCATGTGCCTGTGCGAGTTGTGAAAATTATGAAAATAAATCTATGAATTATTGGATTGTTGGATTTCAAATCAGTTGGGGTTGAGGCATCAAAAGTAACTAAGTAACTAGCTGTTTTATGGATGGTAACTGTAATATTATTACTGAAATCTTATTAGTAATTAGTTACACTACTAGTTACTGCAAAAAGTAATATTAACTAGTTACTAGTAAATTACTGCCCAACACTGTTGGTAATGGCCATCAATGGCAGGGAACACAGTTGCATTGTATGGATGCACTTGGTCCGCAACGATGTTCAGATACCTGACAGCTGTCAGGGTTTGTGCTACTGGGATAATGGGGCCTCAAGTGTCCCAAGAAAACATCGCCCACAGCATAACACCGCCACCGCTGGCCTGTGTCCTCCTAGCAGTGCATCCAGGTGCCATAGCCTCTGTTGGTAATCGGCATATCTGCGTGCAGGAATCTTGATTCATCAAACCAGGCAACTTCCTTCCAATCATCCACGGTCCAATGTTGATGATCTTGGGCCCATTTCATGTGTTGTTGACGATGACTACTGTTAGCATGGGGACCCATCTGGATCGTCGACTGCGCAGGCCCATATGCAGAAGACTGCTATTAACTGTGTGCTGTGGCACACTGCCCTGGTCACAACTGTTGTAGCTGCTGGTGATTTGTCACACTGTGGCCCTGCGGTCGCTGTGAACAATGTGATAGTCTCCGCTCCCCTCTGGCATCAATGAACTGCAGATGACACATGGCTGGACAATGGTTCGTCGTTTGGCCATCCGTGCACCACTGTTGATACATACTCACAGTGGCACACGGACAACTCACAAGGCATGGCGTTTCTGAGATCGAATGTACACACACACACACACATACACACACACACACACACACACACACTTCTACATTTTGCTAACCTAAACACCTGGATGCCCTGTTGTAAAGTTATCTGTCATCTCATTTCTTGTCTTATAATTTGATGTGTGACTTTGCACCTCACATTTTTAAAGAATGTGGAAAACATAAAAAAACAAAGCATGAGGCATTTTTTAAATATGCTTACATTAAAAATGTTTCCATCACATCAGTCTAGTTAGTGCATTTCAGTTTGACTGAAATAACTTGGCAGTTATGCTGAGAATAAACAAACGTAGGTCTCCAGCATAGGACAATTCGATTACCAGCAGCATTGCACATTTGTCTTAGACATGCCGTGACAAAGTGAGCAAGCCGAACAATACTTTTCACCAGCAGTTTTTCCACAGAATGCATTCATTGCCATTTTGACTGTATATTCTTTTGGTGAGAGGTAAGCACTCTGCCGTTTATCCATTACTGCTGGAGCCATGATGACGCAACCGTCTCTTTCAAGGAGACAATTTTAGACACAACATTTTTCCGGCAATTAATTACATCATGTCTCGTGGGGATGGGCTGCATCAAGAGCGGAATGACAATTTCCTCCGACCTCCATCTCCACGTGTAATGTCGGTTCGGAGCACAAATTTGACTCCGCTCACTCCAGAAGTCATTACCAGCAGAGGCCCACAGACGGAGACGCGTGCACTCGAAAAGGGTAAACATCGGTATAAATCTCGCCATTAACTTGAGCTAATGGTTACTGGAGTTGTGAGGTGATTACTGCACTCCTTTGACTTTCACTCTCCCACCTCCTCCTTTTCCTTTTTACACACACTCCAGCGCAAACACATTTGCTTGTGATGAGTCAAGGGCGTCCGGCGCGATTAGCCGCGATGCTGGGGCAATCAACTCCCCACAAATTTCACTGTATCACCGCGATGACGGCCCTGTATTAATCAGCCTTTATTATCCTCGCCGTCTCAGCTGTGGCTACGCTGTCACACGTCCGATTCATCCTCGCGTTTCGGCCTGTCATAGAGCAGGTGTGAGAGCAGCTAAGCTCAGTGTAATTTCCTCACTGCTATTATACCTTTCACAGGATGGAGAAGATGCATCAGTCCGCATCTGCAGGAACGGGACAGAGGATGGAACAGTGGGGATCAAAGTGCACCGTTCTCAGCTGAGTGAAGCCCAATCTGACTATAGCCTTGGGAGATCTCTATCGCCACCATCATATTACCCTCAGTGTATTTCATTAAGATAAAGAAGAAAATCTTAGCGGCTGACAGTTCTATTTGTTGTTCCCTCTGATAGCAGCCACAGTGAAATGGTAAGAGTTATTCCCTCTGCAAACCTCCCTCCCTCTCTCTCTCAACCATGCTTTTTATATCCTGTTTTCTTCTTCTTATTCTTCTTCTCAGAAAATTGTTTTGCTTCTATTTCTGCAGTCCTTTGTTGGTGACCTCCATTATGCCATATTCCTGCTTCACACACCTCTCTGTTCCTGGTCACCTTTTTAGGTCCGTCAGCTTCGCAACCTTCTTCCTGTTCAAGCAGGAATGGAAGGAGAGGCAGCACTGGAATTTATTTAGTCCATTCAGCATTCAGACACTTCGGACAACTACAGGTTCCTATTCGACGGCAGGGAAGCAAAGGCAGGAGTGTTAATTGGACTAAAGTATATTAGTCGGATGGAGGTAGAATTACTTCACGGCTCTAAGTGGTAGATGAATTGCATCTGTCAGGTTTATGAGATCAAAGACGACACACAGGGCAATGTGTCTTCATTATTTTAATCCCCTGCGTGCATATGAGAAAATTATTTGAAATGCCAAGCAAAGCTGGCAGTTCTTCATGGTTTTCATCAAAAAAAAAAAAAAGGCTCTAAAATGAGATATACAGTATAGAAGATATAATTTAGGTTTTTGCTAACTTATTCAGAAATTGTCTCACACATCTTAGGAGTTATTACCCATGTCAATTATATTTAACCTGACATAAAAATTGCACCAATATAAAAATTCCGGCAGGTATGGATAAGGCGATAAGTACATGTTATGGCCAATAACTGATAAATGTGCAACTAAGATAAAAGGAGGGGAAGTCGTGGCCTAATGGTTAGAGAGTTGGACTCGTAACCCAAAGGTTGCGGGTTCTAGTCTCGTACCGGCAGGGATTGTAGGTGGGGGGAGTGAATGTACAGCTCTCTCTCCCACCTTCAATACCACGACTGAGGTGCCCTTGAGCAAGGCACCGAACCCCCAACTGCTCCCCGGGCGCCGCAGCAAAAATGGCTGCCCACTGCTCCGGGTGTGTGTTCACGGTGTGGGTGTGTGTTCACTGCTGTGTGTGTGCACTTTGGATGGGATAAATGCAGAGCACTAATTCTGAGTATGTGTCACCATACTTGGCCATGTGTCACTTCACTTCACTCACTCACTTAAACAAAACCTCATAGCAGTTGAATTAATTAAATAAATAAATTATTATTACTGTAATATTATTAATATATAGCAATATATTGTGCATCCCTAATAAAACAGAAATATGGACAAATAAATTTGAAACCCCAAGGAGACTTTTAAAATGAATTGATCTACAACAGTACTTTCAAATCTAACCCTCATCCACACTTTATTTTCAACAATTAGCCCTATACAAAATGGACATTGAGTTGTTCTTTGTGCATTCTAAATATGACAATATCAGCAGAACATACACTGAATTCACATTTTTGATGGTCTAAAACAGGTGTTGTTTTATTCATACAAACACAAACAATCTTTAACTAAGGACATTGGTGATTTGATTTAGTGTAAACTGCAAAATCAAACATTGCGTAAGACACTTTTACTCTCTTAAAACTGTTTCCATGTGATCATTGCTAATACTCTCCATTATTTCCAAAAAAAGGTAGAAGATTGAATTGTGCATGCACATAGTGGATATAGCCATAGTGAGTGCATTGTGCATTAAGTTATTACTGATACATTTATTACATTTACTGTGTGATACAATTATCCCTGCTCTACATTTATCCCGGCTTTACTCACAATAGTTTTGCCAAGAAATGAAAAGTTCTTCAGTCAGAATTCAGCCTTGAGGTTTTGGAACAGAGTGAATTTTATGCACAAATGCAGGTGGAATATTTATTATAGTCTACGTTCGCATATCAACTGAATTATGGCGGTTACCTCATCTCTGATCTAAATCTGTCACTTCTGGTTGACGGTAAAATCGTAACAATATATTGACTTGAAGAATGTATGTGTGAGTTCTGTTTACATATTATGTTTTCATGATATAGCGGCAGTATTGCACAAATGATTACGATCTCCCTGGAGCATGGCGTACATCTCTGGATGTAATTCACCAGGTTGTATTTCAGCGCAAATGCATAGATCACTCTCACAGCAAATAAATGACTCAAGTGGACTTGAGCTAGGACAGAATCATCAGCGTTCTGACAGGCACTGAACTCACCCATGTGCGACTGCCTTTAAATAGCGC